CTTTCTCTTGCTTCATTTTATCTCTTCCACTCCATCTTACCCCACTCTCCCTGCTTGTAGGCACAAGGAGGGGAAAGATTACAGGATTCCTCCAGTACAAGAAAGACTTTGGATGTAGGGGAAGTCTTTATTTATGTCTTTCCTGGAGTAATCCATTTTGCTTTCACATTTCTCATGGCTCATGCTCTCTGTCTATGAAGACACTATTCAATGTAAAATTTTCTCTTTTCAGTCAAAAATAAAAGACCCCCAGGCTTAAAAACAAACACATGCACAGAATCTGGACTTATCTTTGGTTGTAGAAATACAGCCTGAATATGCCAATTCACATGCAATAGTTCAAACAAACAAAAATCAATGAAATAATTATGGTGTTACTGGCAAGCTTTTTAATAAAGGTGTTTGGGTGAAACTTCTTTGGTGGTTTAGTTGCTCAGTCATATCTGACTCTTGTGGCTGCATGGACTGTAGCCCACCAGGCTCCTCTGTCCGTGGAATTTCCCAGGCAAGAATACTGGAGTGGATCTTCCCAATCCAGGGATCAAACACACTTCTCTTGTGTTACAGGCAGTCTCCTGCATTGCAGGTGTATTCTTTACTGACTGAGCCACCAGGGGAGCCCTGAAACTTCTTTGGCTTGATATAATTTGGGGACATCTAAGTTTTCACATGCAGGAATTCAGTACATGCTGATCCCCAGTATGTGATTCAGGACCAGAGATGAATTAGAAGACTCTTGGGGTATCATTCTACTGAGACTTAGCTTGGAGGATCTGCTTCTGTGTTCCTGTGGCTGAGCTGCTGGGGGCTGGTTCTATAAATGAATGAGAGGTTGATAGGAGCCAGAATGACTCACAGGGCAGTCCTTGGGACTTGGTTGGATGGGCAGTGAGGGAGAGAAACCAGCAGCAAGGGGGTGAATAAACACACTGAGAGGATTTTGGCTTCACCAGGCAGTGTCTCTGATCTGTAAAATAAGGATGATTAATTCTTATCTATTTCCTGGAGGTGTGGTGAAGATTATGAAGGAAAATAAATTTGAAAGCACCCTTGAGGGTGAAATGCTTTTTGTGAATATAAGGCATTTTATGTTACGAAAGAAAAGGAAATAGAGTTTTGTAGGCCAACCTTTCCTAACTTGATATTCACCTGTCTTTATGAAATGTCCAAAGAGTATCTTTGAAAGAGAAATAAAACCTGTGATCAGTAACCTCAATTCTCTCAGGTAAGGAAGGCGATGACATGAGGAGGAATCCAACAATAGAAGGAGCTCTAACTCCGTGAAGAAGAGAAGCACATGGTACCCACCACCTGGTCTTTATTTTAACTGAGAAAACTATCATGAGGGTCTCAGTGTCATACTTTCAAGATGCAGTCAAGTTAGTCAACAAAGCAGCCAGACTACTTGTCTGTTTGAACTGACTAATTATTGCATTGTCTTGATTCATATTTTCCATCCACTTGACTGCCTGGATGGACAACAAATTGTAGACAAGGCTAATGCATAGGAGGGCTTCCCTGGTGGTTCAGCCGTAAAGAATCTGCCTGCTAATGCAGGAGACATGGGTTTGATCCCTGGGTAGGGAAGATCCCTTGGAGAAGGAAATGGCAACCCATTCCAGTATTCTTGCCTGGGAAATCCCATAGAGAGAGGAACCTAGTGGGCTATAGTCCACTGGGTCTCGAAAGTGTCGGACACAACTTAGCGACTAAACAACAACAATGATGTATAGGAAGAACCCCTAGGAGTCAGGCTAAGCCCTGTGGATGACCTGCTTTCTTGACAAATAGGAGAAAAGCAGATTTAGTACATGTTTTTCTGTCCTAGACATCAAACTTTGGTTCACAATGGCTTTAAGTTCAACACTATGCAAGAAACCCAGAATCAGTCATTTGTCTACATAGGATTTTAATTTTGAAAAAAAAATAAAAAAGAAAAACAGAAAGCAAGTAAATGGTACTATATGTGTGTGAATGTGTGCTTAGTCGATTCAGTCGTGTCTGACTCTTTGCGTTGCTATGGACAATAGCCTGCCGGATTCCACTCTCCGTGGGATTCTCCAGGCAGGAATACTGGAGTGGGTTACCATACCCTCCTCCAGGGGATCTTCCCGAACTAGGGATCAAACCCACATCTCCTGTGGAGGATTCTTTACTGCTGAGCCACTAGGGAAGCCCAAATGGTACTACATGTCAGAATAAAGTTTTAATATATATCCTAAATAAATGAACATCTATGAATGCCTGCTCACACACTTGCTGCCAATTCTCAGAACACCCTCAGATAATTCAATTGCACATATAATAAAAAATCGCAGTTACCCTTATATACTGCCACTTTTCTCCCTACTTGTTACAGCTCTCTGTTCCTATCATGGCGTCGCCCATGTCATTGGGCAAGTTAATTCATCTCACTGTGTTTAATTTTATTCAGTATAAAATGAACATTTTTATTTCTATGTCATAGAGATTCTATGAAGATCAAGTACATAAAGACCTTAGCATAGTTCTTTGTTAAAATGTGCTTTAAAATACTAATAAGTGTCACCAGCAAGGCTGAAGTATAGAGATGGGTCTTTCTGAGGTTCTGGCTTCACCAGAGGGTAAAAGACCAGGGTTTTGGCTATTAAGCTTAGCATGGCTTCTTCTGTGTAACTCTTCAACCATCTCCACCATCCAACAGCTCACTGGCTGGTCCTCAGCCACACTCATTTCTGGGCTGAGATCCTGACATTTGCTTTTACTCTGCCAGGCAGTCTCTGTCACCAGGTCTGCACATGGCACCTTCTTCCCATCATTAGATCACAGCCTGAGTATCACCTGGGGCCCCTCTGGACCACTGGTCTCAAGGGGCATCTCCTCCTTAGTCATTAGCCCGTTTCTGTCTCAGTTCTTTTTTTTATGCAAACTTTTAAAAAATTGTATTTTTATGTTTTTGGCTGCTCTGGGTCTTCATTGCTTCACATGGGCTTTCTCTAGTTGCAGCAAGAGGGGGCCACTCTCTAGCTACCGTGTACAGGCTTCTCATTGTTGTGGCTTCTTGTGTTGGTGGAGCATGGGCTTTACAGCGCTCAGGTTTAAGTAGTTGTGGCCCATGGGCTCTGTTGCTCCTCGGCATGTGGAATCTTCCCGAACCAGGGATCGAACCCTTGTCCCCTGCATTGGCAGGTGGATTCTTAACCACTGGTCCACCGGGGAAGCCCTCTGTTTCAGTCCTTCCTGGCGTCTTGCTCTGCTACCCAGAACTGTATCTGGCATGTGATTTCGTGTTTATCACATTCTTTTCTGGAAGAATAGATGACTATTGTTGCCTAAGTCAATTTTTTTCTTTTATTTTAAAACTCCACAGACAGTTCCTATTGAAGAGCAGATGGCTTTATTCGAGGTAAATACTCTTCCACTTGCCTCAAATCCAATTTATTTGTCTCCTTTATGCTTCTCTCCAAACTTGAACACTTGCTGGGTAAAATTTTCATTTACTTACTCTGCTATTTCAAGGTGTGCAAACTACAAAAGCAGGTGTCTAGTTTGTCTTAGCTTTGCTGTGTCCTCTGTGAGCTGACAAAATACATTTGGCCACATGTTTATATCTGCAAATAAATGTGTCTGTGGAATGGAGATGTATCTGTATTAAATGAATTGGGAATGTCTGTTTGAACATACAGAATTATGGCTACATCTTTCTAGCTATTTCACAAGTTAGTATTTGAAAAATCAATGTCCTCTTTCATATTTGTGTGTATATTCTGACTATATCTTAGTCCATTTATCCAAAGAGAAAATTAAAATAAATATTGTTGATAAACCTGGCTGTGGTTTTATTATTTCTTTCAAAACCCTTTGAAATTTTTTTTCCTTTCCATGAAATTGGTTTCAGTTTATTTCCAAATAGAATTTTTTATATTCTGGTTTTTAGATGGAATTATCCTGAGGTTAGGGGCCTACCAGGTGGTTCAATCTTAAAGAACCCTGCCTGCCAATGCAGGAGACTCTGGTTCGATTCCTGGGTCAGGAAGATGCCCTGGAGAAGGAAATGGCAATTCGCTCTAGTATTCTTGCCTGGGAAATCCCATGGACAGAGGAGCCTGGTAGCCTACAGTCCACGGAGTCACAAAAGAGTCAGACATGACTAGCCGACTAAACACCACCACCATCCTAAAGTTAACTGTTTTGCAGGAATCATTTTCCTTAATAGAAGTCAACATAGTAATAATGTGAGCTGAATTGTAATGTTTAAAAATTATAATGTTGCTTACAGTGTTATATTTGTGATAACTTTATTTACATAGATTTCTTTATTTAAAAGAACATTTTAAAAATAAGTGATGCATTTGTAATAATTATGAGTAACTATAGCAAATAATGAATACTTCCCAGATGGGGGTTTGACAACCAGTGACTGGCACCTAGACCAGGCAAGTAAGTAAGTCAAGTAAGAGTTTAATAAAAGTTTGCTAAATGAATCTTTAGCATGTTTTACAGTATTTAGCATCCCTGGGAGCATGGAAGCTTCCAGAAATAAAAAAAGCAAGGCAATCTGCTAAATCTGGAAAATTGTTAGTTCTTTTACATCTTATTTTCTGACATTATTTATAAAGTACTGACATCAATTCTCAAGCTACTAAATTTTATTTTAGAGAAGAAACCAACACAAAAGAAGAGAGGTACAGTATCTCCGATCAGTTCAGTTCAGTTGCTCAGTCGTGTCCAACTCTTTGCGACCCCAAGGACCACAGCATGCCAGGCTTCCCTGCCCCTCACCAACTCCTGGAGCTTGCTCAAACTCAAGATATATATTTGGAAAGCTCTAAATATTCTAAAGTTTGAAAAGTCCTTGATTTCAAATGCCAAGTGTACTTCAGTGGGTGGTGCTGATTTAACCTATGGTTCTTTTCCTTTTTTAAAATATTGCAGCTTATAAAAGTTCTCAAACAAAACAACTCAAAAGCTCTGAAATTTAGACTATGAAAATAATTAAGAAAATGCAGAAAGGGCACTGGTAGATTTTTAAAAACTATTTTAATACAAGATTAATAGCAATTTTCTATCCAAATCAGAAATGAAAAATCTTAACCCAAATCATATTCATTTGACAGTCACATAAAATTTTAGGTTTGATTGGTGCACACATTTGTCCTGCATATATGTTATGCATATGCATACGGAGACCTCACTACCACGCCAACTTGAGCTGTCTTTTCGTCGAAGTACCTCGTTACAAGGCAATGTCAAAGATTCCAGTACCTATGCAACCTTCACTGAGGTTCAAATGGCCCCATGCTAGGCTGAGTCCCGTGCTGTAGCAAACTGTGTTATAGCAAGGCTCCAGGATGCATACAAATCAATACTGTCTTTGTAGAACTTGGCCTAAAACCAAACACTGGCTAATGTCTCCGCCAAGGAGGAACACACTGCAAATTTATAAGTTATGGTCTCCTTTACTCTTCTGTTAGCAAAGCTAAACTCCTCCTCTCCTCCACTCTTTTTCTAAAGTTAGAAGTCAGATTGGTTAGTGACTGTAAGTAAATGAGTTTGAATTTCTGCAAGTTTTGGGCAAGTCAAAACTTGCACTTGCTAACCCTTCCACCATTCATCCAACCACCTGATAATCAGCCTTGCAAAGAGAAGTAATCAAAGAATCACAACTCAGGAATCTGCCAAAGTTTTGTTCCTCCTTGAGGACGTTAGTAGGTGTTCAGTGTATAGCCAAAACATGTATGTAATGGCTAAAGAATTAAAGTAGGCTAATGTCTGCAGCAGGGAATATAAATTAAACATCAGGGCTCTGCATCTGATAATATTTTCAGTGTGTTTGATTTACAGAACGCTACTTTTACAATGACTACTGCTTGTCAATGAATAATCATGTTTTTTGGTGTAGGCAAAGTAGTATTTTCTATCCCTTACAATTAAAGCAAGTAATACAAGATATTGATCTGGTTAAGACACTGTAAGGGAGTCAGATTGCTAGCGCTAATGCTGTTCTATGATGGCTCTGATCAAAGTCCTGACTTGACCTTCATTCAAATGAGAGAAGGTCATCGTGTCTGTCCTTTAATACAGAACCATAAGCGGAGCTCGAACTCATGAATTTGCAATCCATTCTTCTCTGCTTAAGACTTTAGCCTCTGTTTAGGTTTTGTTATAACATATACAAAGTATAATATACACCAGTTACAGACGTGTATTTCTGTTAGAAAAATACATATTATAACTAAGGAACATGTAAATAGAGGCACTTCAATAAGCTAAGTGTTTGCAGTTATGAGCATCACCCAACTGTTCCTAGTGTCCGATTTCAGTGAGTCCGTTCCTCTCTACTCATAACAGAGGTTATGATGTGATTACAGAATTTAGGGGACTTCAGAGCAAGTGAGGGTAGGTCAGGAAAAACAATGGAGTATCATCACATCCCCTATCACTATGCTAAAATGAGAGAAATTAATTTGGTGGTGCAGGGAGGGAGAAATTCCAAAATACTTACTGAAATGGGTTAACTAGATTAAGCTAATTCTCTTAGGGTACAAAAAAATTCTCATGTCAAATTAGTCTAAAAAATCATATGATGGGGTGGGATGATGATTAAAAAGCAGGAAGTACAATTTGAATAGTATTTTGACCACATCCCTGCGGGTGACGATTACTGTGGCATCATTAACTGATAGTGATGTCAGCTTTCTGCCTGGCTCATATAGTTCACTATAGCTCACCAATATGAATAATATTGATAACAAAGGTGTGGAAACAAATGAAGCAGGCATTTATATACTATTGGTGTGTTTAGTGTGTACAGAACATGGGTTCACATTCATTAATATAAGGTGTATTCACACACATGCACAAAGCCCTCTGGGGGTGAAAGCACAGGGAAAACAAGGCATTTGGGTCTATTTCACAGAAAGCAATGCAGAAATATTTTTTTAAAAGGAAAGACTTGGAGCTTAAAGCTACGAAAACAAGTGATGACTCAAATATTCTGGAAAATCAAGATTGATTTAATTTGTATTGCACCTTAATTACTGGAGAAAGACAATACTGATTTCTGAACATACAATGCAATGAGCAACATAAATGATTGGTCCTTCATAGAGATGCTTTATGTGTAATTGGTGCTAGGAAGCTGAAGTTTGGCAGTGAAATGAATGGTTTTCTAGAAGTATGGAATGCCAAATTAGATTAAGTGTTAATTTCTTAAAGATTTAAATGAAAAGATGCCAAAAAGTCTCTCAAAATCCTACGTTCCATATTTTGTTAGGCATACAATAGCAAGAGATGCTTCTAAATACTTTCAGTTTTGCAAAAGTGCTCAAATATACTTAATACTATTGTGCTGCATGTGTTCTACTTAAGTGTGATGACTAAATTGATAACTAATTATAATTTTGATGAATATGGAGATAAAAAATACCATTTATGTGTCATGACTGCCAATGGGTTAGTTAACATGTGACTGGCATACTATGGTGTCTTGAAACATTACTTTTCCCAACCCCAGAAGCATCATAGAAACCAAAAAAATAAAAAACATGGATAGCCAACTGTATTCATAAAGCCCCAGTTTGGTTTATTTTGCTTCTCTCTATCAAGGGGAGCATCATGCCTGGCTTTGGCACACCTGGTGGAAGAGTTAGGCTATAAATCAGCCTGTTAAATTAGGACATCTCTCCAAGTGCCAAGCAGGAATCCTAGGCTGAAGGCGTTGTCCTGAAAGCAATGGTTTTGCATGAATAACACATTCCTTGCACATACAGTTTCCACGACCGGTACAGTTCTGCACACCCATGGCTCTGCCCATGAGTTAGGTACAGTGTGGAGCACCCAGGGCAAAGCACACTCATGCGAGAAAGGTGTGCCCTGGCAAACTTTTAATAAATGGACAGTTAGATACGTAAAAAGTTCTCTTTCTTGATTCTTGGTGCTCACAGATAAATGAGGAATCCCTTCTCTGAGCAGCACAAAACAAGAAGAGCTGGTTGACAAAACATTTTCGTTACAAAGGTGTGTCAACCCTGAGCTTGGAATTAAGAAGTTAAAATCTGTGATTTATATATATATAGATATAAAAATAGATGATCATACTAAGACTAAAAAAGTGAAAGAAATCTCCATGTCAATACTATATATATATTTTTTTGTCTTGACGTTTTTTGTTGTTGTGAGTTATTTTGTAAGAGAATGCCCTTGTGATGCAGAAACCAATTGACACAAAGTAAATAGTTAAAAATGAAAACTCACTTATGGATCGAATTCTTCTTCTGTTCATTAAAAGAACTCTTCTTTGGGGAGGGTAATGAGCACAGGGCAGAAACATCTGATTCCTGTCAAGCCTGTGGCTAAAGCAAAGAGATTGTATTGTTGATGATTTCATTTCAGACCCTTGAGGGGGATGAGTTCAGGCCGGTGTCCACTAGTAACTGAAAATGAAGCAAAAAGTCTGTGCCAATTGGATACAGTGGACAGACACTGTATTATAAAGTGTATAATTAAAAGAATTAAGAAAAATGATACCATTACTGAAATTGAAATCGGGCAAGGTAAGAGAGAGGTGCTGAGCTATATAGCAAATTTTTCTATCATAGTAAAGATGGAATTCTAAATTTACCCTCAGTACCTCCAAATCAGCTGGGGCATTGTGTGGTTAGCGTGCAAGACCTCCAAGACAACAGTGTTTTTTCATTACATGAAAAAAATGTCAAACTTTCTCTCCATAAGCATTTTGTAACCCTGATTTGTTACTGAAAAGCTTACACTGGGAGCTGGCTGGCAATGCCAAACTTATGGCATTAAAGCTCTTTTATTTTTCTCTCTTGTTTGCTTCTTTGTTCCAATTGCAGTTGTCTTGGGGTTTGGCCTGATTTTGCAAGGAAAATGATCTTTTCTTTCTATTTTTTTTTTTAATGGGGGGAAAAAAAAACTCACAACGTGAGATTCCTTTACTTCTGCAGCATAAAAGCAAATGAAGGTAAGAAAATCTCCTGGTACGAAAGATTGGAGTAAGAATTCTCTAGAATAAACAAGGTCCCCACAGATAGCTGAAGGAAAGAGGAAGCAGTCCAGTCTGGCGCCCGGTACTCTTTGGGAAAACAAAAAGGGAGGCAGAGTACAGTACTGCCCTCTTCTCGGAAACCGGTTAGTTTTTGTGGCATGGTCCACTGTCCAAGGGTGTAAGAAAAGAAGTGAGTTGGCCATTCCAATAGCTAAAATGCAGTTTCATCTGACCGAAAACCCAGGATTATCTGCACAGGCTCTGCAGTGCCAGGGCGACGCAGGCGAGAGATCCTGAGAGCAGGGAGTGGCCCGGCTGGCCGGCAGAAGAGTCTACTTCTCTCCGGTCGGGATCCACCGCGGGGGCCTCGGTGGTGACAAACTCGAACTCTGTAGGACACACGTCATCCATGCACCCACTGCCGCTCCCCGAGCCGCTGGATTCGTCGCCTGGTGTGGGCAGATGGAAAAAGAGAGTAAGAGCCAGGCCAGCAAAGAGTGGGGCACAATAGAGATTTGGGCATGTTGGTAGAAGACCCCCTTACCCTGCCCCACTAGGTTTATTTTTAATGGACAGGTTTGTGATGGGTGGGTGGACTGTATCTAAATAAAAAGCAGAGACATCACTATGCTGAGAGAAGGCCATTTTATAGTCAAAGCTATGGGTTTTCCAGTAGTCATGTATGGATGTGAGAGTTGGACAAGGCTGAGTGACGAAGAACTAATGCTTTCGAACTGTGGTGCTGGAGAGACTCTTGAGAGTCCCTTGGACAGCAGAGAGATCAAACCAGTCCATCCTAAAGGAAATCAACCCTGAATATTCATTGGAAGGACTGATGCTGAAGCTCCAATACTTTGGCCACCTGATGCAAAGAGCCAACTTGTTTGAAAAGATATCCGAAGTTACCCAACTAAAAAACATAAGAATCCCAGATCCAGTGAGAGGTCATACCCACCATGTTGGAATCTGAAATGAATTTCATATTCTGACCAACATTTCAATTACTTTAAGAACTTTCATTCTTTGCTCATTTTCAAAACTCAGAGCCATTGTTCTCAGGAGATATCATGCTTTTAGAAAGGATTTTGAAAGGATATTTTAAAGGAAACCATTGAAGAGGAAAACCAACAATGGAAGTAAGAAATCAGAGAATGGCAGCACGTAATTGTGGAAGGCACAGCTGGTTATTACCATTTTTGGCTACTTTTTCCACTGCTGTTCTCTTCCTAAGTGCAAGGATGGATTCTGACTTGACCATTGGTTGACAAATCATGGCCTCCAGGCCTGCCAGTTGTTTTTGTATGGCTCTCAAGCCTGGGCTTCCCAAGTGGCACTAGTGGTAAAGAACCCGCCTGCCAGGTTCATGCAGGAGACGCAAGAGATAAAGTTTCAATCCCTGGATTGGGAAGATCCCCTGGAGGAGAGCTTGGTAACCCTCTCTAGTATTCTTGGCTGGAGAATCCCATGGACAGCGGAGCCTGGCAGGTTACAGTCCATAGGGTTACAAAGAGTCGGACATGACTGAGAAGATTTAGCACACATGCATCCAAGTGTGACTTTGTATAATCCCAAGAATGGTTTTTATATATTCAAGTGTTTGAAGAAACACAAATGAGGAATAATATTTGTGATATGTACATGGTATATATCTGAAATCTAAACCTCAGTGTCTGTATGTAAAGTTATATTGGGACACAGCCGTGGTCATTCACTTATGGATTGTTTAATTATGCATTCATGTATGGCCCTCCAAGCTGAACATATTTAATATGTGGCTATTAGCAGAAAATTTTGCCATTCTCTGCTTAAAACCAACATCCAGGTGTCCACCTAGTATGCTTTCTCAGCCTGGCATCTTCCCTGCCTGCCCAAAATGCCTTCTGGGGCTGCTCTATTCCCACTTCTGACCACTTGGTTCATGATTCTTAAACCCTGTATCTCAGACTTGGGTCTCAGGTAAGTCTCCATCTATTACTGGTTGTGGTGGTTTAGTTGCTAAGCTGTGTCTGACTCTTTGCGACCGTATGGACTGTAGCCCACCAGGCTCCTCTGTACATGGAATTTCCCAGGCAAGAAACTGGAGTGGGTTGCCATTTCCTTCTCCAGGGAGTCTTCCCAAACCTAGGGATCAAACCTAGGTCTCCAGCATTGACATGAAGATTCTTTACCAACTGAGCATCCATTACGAGCTATGTGAAAGTACTTATCCCCATTTGCAACTCTATTATTTAACTGTTTGCTTTCTTGTTCCCTCTCTGACAATGTACACTTGTTGAGGAAGGGCAGACACTTTGTATATACTGTTCATTTCTGTATTTGCATTGGCTTTAACGATCCCTGGCATACAGTAGGTGCACAATAATAACTACTTACTGAATAATTAAATATGCCTTGGGCACTTTTTTCAATTTCTTTGTTTCCTCAACTCAATACCTACTGACAGTAACATTTACCTTGTTGAGGATGGTGAAGACCCCCTGATAAAATGTGAGAACACCAAATCCAATGTGGGCAATGATGCTTGATAGGAAATATATTGTTCCTCCAGCAAAGACGACTTAGATTTTAACCTGCTGTCTTTTGTTTAAGTCAGTTAGCCTTGCTAGGCCCTGCTTGCTCACCTGTAAAAGTGAGAATAATCCTATCCACTTCATAGAATTGTTATAGGGTGAGATAAGTGTCATAAGTGAGATAATGTTCCTGGGAGGGCTTAGGAAACATAGTAATGGTAAACGCTGTAATGACATTTACTATTTCCCTCATGTACTCCATGGAGTCCATTCAATAGCCTTAAATGCCTCCCTGCTGCTCTGAAATGGTGATGTATATATTCAGCTGCTCCAAAAAGACTAGTGCCATCTTGGCTGCTAGACAGTGGTACTTAAGAAAAGCCAAGGTGATGTCAGGTCTCTTCCAATACCTCCCCACTAAGCAAGGCTCAACTCAGCACAACTTTATTTATTTATTATTATTTTTTTAACTTTTTTTGTCTATATCACATGACATGTAAAATCTTAGTTCTCAGACCAGGGATTGAACCATATCCCCTATGGTAGAAGTTCAACGTCTTAACCACTAGATCGCCAGGGAAGTCCCAGTGTAATTTTTGTTTTCTTAATGGGACATCTAAAATACCACATAAGAGCACTTGAATATACTATACCAGGTTCTTAACATTTTCTCTAATTTATCTTTAGTGGCCTTCACAAGGGGGAAAATGCCCATTAATTAAATTCAGAGATATCACAATTGCTAAGGGAATTGTTTTAAACACTGGTATTATGAACAAGAAGTTACATAACCTTTACAGAAATATTATTGAGGTGATTTAGAATATTAAAAATGTGGTAAGCAAATAATGACGGGAAATTCTAGCTGAGAAAAATAATGGCTCTATCTCTTTCTGAAAAGGAATCACAAATGCAGGTATTTAAGTGGTGAGTTTTAAAAATGTCAGAAGCAATAATGGTGATGATGACTATAAGATGTGATAGTGGTTTTATAAGACAGTATCCTAAAATAAGCTTCCCCGGTGGCTCAGATGGTAAAGAATTTGCCTGCAATGTAGGAGACCTGGCTTCGATCTCTGGGTCAGGAAGATTCCCTGGAGAAGGAAGCAGCAATCTATTCCAGTGTTCTTGCCTGGGAAATCCCATGGACAGAGGAGCCTGATGGGTGATAGTCCACGGGGCCGAAAAGAGTCGAGCATGACCGAAAGACTAACACTTTCACTTTCATCCTAAAACAGGAGGTCAAGTTTGGTGCTGAGGTTACAGCAAAGTGATACTCTTGAGTGTTGCTGATTTTTATTTTTTTGGGGGGGGAAATGGAGCAGGGTGTCTTCTCTAGGGCGTATCTTAAGTTTTGCAGATTGACATGTATACAACCTCTTTAGGTCAGAGAGGAGAGAGAACCAAGGCCAACATCAACTAATTCTAATGTATCTTGAATGATTTAATCCAATAGTCATTCTCTGATGACAAAGTGCTTTATTAGAGAAGACAGAAAAGATAAATTGAGAGGAGTGAAGCTAAGAAATGAGCAGGGGAGAAGCAGCAAAGGCTAAAATCTAGTGTAATTTTCTCTTCTGAAGAGGGAAGGAGACATTTAGCAAAGAGGCAGAGAAATACTGGAAGGACTGAGAAAGTTTACAGCAAATTTATCAGGTTGGCAATGATCCTGCACTTAGAAAGTTAATTTTTGAGTTATTTTAAATGGAACTAAGCTCCAAAAATTTTCTGCAGGGGAAAACTCAGTAGACTGATGGTTAAGACTCAGATGACTTTATGTCTCCCATCTGTAACCTGTTTTTTCCTATCTCATTAATTCAAGCACATAGCATCATCTTTTGCTTCAGTGACCAAATTATAGAATCACTGGCAACTCCACATCTTATGTTCAAGGAATCTTCTCCCAAGAACTCTCTCTATAAGAATATATATTTAAAAAAACCAACAAAACATAAAACAAACAAACAAAAAAACCCTTGCCTTTATAGTTACACATCTAGAAACCATTTAGACAAAACCCAAATATGGTTACTTTCATTCAATGTGCACTTACTAGTCTTTCAAAATCACTTTTGGTATTTTGTAATCTTTAATAAAATAGTCATGTGTAATATTACATCAGCATTTTAGTATTTTGCTCAAGATTTCAGATACAAAAGTCAGTGGGTCATGTATGTGCACGATATGAGAGAGAACAATGCAATTGACTTCATGGCACATGAGATATTCATCTTAGCTCCTTTACACGTGGCCTCAAACGAACCTCCCAACAATCCTAACTTAGGAATGTTTCCCATTCTATAGAAGAGGAACATGAAACTCAAGAGATAATCTGTTCAAAACTTCAGTTCATAAGTAATAAAACAGGGATTCCCACTCAGCCTTGTCTGGGTGAGTGATCTTGAGGACATTCTTCTCTTGGCAGTTGGGAAGAAGGATGGAAGTTTGAGGCAGAGACATAAATGCTGGTGGGGAAGTGGGGAGGGGAAAACATTACTTTGCTGTCTTGTAGTTAATGGATTAACTGGCAGATGCAACTCAACTTTAGTTTTGGTACATTGGAATGTCAGCCACTGAAACTACTCCTTAGGAGCAGCTATGATTTTAGTCGTATCCAAAAAAAAGATCAGGGCTCTCTGCCCAAAGGACTGTAAAGAACCTTGCACATGGGGTAAGAATGACACAAAAGAGCCATGTTACACATTGCTCTTAAAGAAAAATCATGATAAACTTATTTATAAAGCAGAGGCAGACTTATAGACTCAGAGAACAAACTTATGGTTACGAGGAGGGAAGTGGGGGAGGGATAGTTTGGAAGTTTGGAATCGCTAGGTACACACTGCTATACTTAAAATGAATAACCAGCAAGGACCTACTGTATAGCACAGGGAATGATGTACAATATTCTGTAATAACCTAAATGGAAAAAGATTTTGCAAAAGAATAGATACATGTATATGCATAACTGAATCAATTTGCTATACACCTGAAACCAACACAACGTTGTTAAACATCTCTGTTGTTGTTGAGTTGCTAAATTTCATCTGACTCTTTGCAACCCCATGGACTGTAGCCCGCCGGGCTCCTCTGTCCATGGGATTTCCCAGGCAGGAATACAGGAGTGGGTTACCATTTCCTCCTCCAGGGGATCTCCCTGACCCAGGAATGGAGCCTGAGTCTTTTGCATCTCCTGCATTGGCAGGCAGATTCTTTACCACTGAGCAATCAGGGAAGCTCTCTAAATGACAAGGCTCCAATACAAAACAAAAATTTAAAAAATGAAAATAAAATTCTTTCTTTAAAAAAACAGACTGCAGAATGATCTTCTATAACGGTTTTCACTCTGGAGGGTGTTGACAAAGGCTATCTTACTTGTGTCCTGGAAGTTGACGTCATTGCCATTGTATGCATTCTTCAGTTTGTTGGTCATCACGCGGAGAGCCATGATCTGCTGCCTGATGAACGTGTCGGGCCGCGTGATGTCCACGTCCACCTCCGGGTTGTTGATCTGGTTGGTCAGCCCGTCATTCATGATCTCAGGCAAGTACCTGAGGGCACAGAGAGAGAGACCGGTTGGGGTGAGGCAGGAGCGACCTTGAAACCAGATTCTGCCATGTTCTTTCTAACAGTGAACCAGAACATTGGCAAAACCTGGGCTTGGTTTCCTAGAAAAAATGCCAAGCAGTGAAAACAAGGCATGTGTTTTCCCAGAGAGAGAGATGTGGCCAAAATGGCTTCAGAGTTGTCTCTAAATGGCACTGAATTCTCATGTAGGCTTGCCTACAAATAAATGCTCACCTGAGGACTTCCAGAAATTATTCCTTAAAATTAATTACTCTGTCTCCCTCCATCCCAAATGTTAAGATGGCTAAGTCAAGGACTTGACAGCTCACTCAGTGATCCTGTGAATTTTGCTAGTAGGACCTGAACTTGTAAATTATACAAGACCTTAGAGGGTTCCCTTGTATGAGGGTGCTCTTCCTCAATTGAGGAGGTCTGATCCCAGGTTTTAATCAGAACAAACTTCTGGAGACAAAAAACATCTTTGGAAAGTTGGAGGAGCAACCAGTGATCACTGGAATATTTTAAGAGTCCATTAGGATTTTTATTTTGTACTAGAATCTTGGGTCTAACTCATCACTGAGTAGAAGAGTAAAATCTAATGTCAAATTTATATCACCACTTTTTAAACCTTGTGCTCGTGTCAAATGGTCAGTCCTTCCAATGTCAACTGCTTAAGCTGCCCACATGTATTTGTACCAGCAGAGACTGAAGATCTTAGCAAAGTGCTTGCAGGGCCAGACTCCTTACTCTTACAACCCATCTGCTTTCAGCCCGTCTCCTCCTCTCACAAGGTTCTCACACATACAGCTTCTTTCCTGTGTCCTGTGTCCTGAGTTGGAGTGCAAAGGGCTACAGCGGCTTCAGAATTCCTTGCCTCCCCCTACCCCCATCTTTCCATTCTAGCGCATCATACATGACCTGTCTGGCTAATCTTCATAAAATACTGCTTTCATCATGTCACCCTTCTGTAGCTAATCTCCACGGGGTGCTTACTAAATGCCAGTCATTGTGCTAAGCACTTTACCTGCATTACAAAACTTCAGTTTCCCAGCAAATCTAGGAGGTAGGTACTATTTTATCCCCACTTTGTATAATAGAAGACAGAGGTTTAGTTACTGTGCAAAGTCACAGAGCTAATGGATCACTCTTCAGAGCCCATGTGTCCAAACACTGCATCATATTTCCTGTTTGATCACAAACTCCAATTCACAATTTATGGCTCAGCACTCCAAGCCCATCTCTACCTCATCTCTACTTTCTTAGGCTGCAATTCTCCTCTCAAGGGGCACTCCTTGCCTTATGCAATCTTCTCCAGGGATTCATCTTATCTTTGCTGGCAATATACTTTTCCATTTAAGTTCCAAATATCTTTAAAGACCCAGGTCAATCCTCACTTTCTCTTTAAGATGTTTTCCAGCTTTAAGGGATCCGCCCATTCTTTCCTGCTTCCCAGGTGGTGCAGTGGTAAAGAATCTGCCTGCCAATGCAGCAGATGCAGGAGACTTGGGTTCGATCCTTGGGTGGGGAAGATCCCCTGGAGAAGGTAATGGCAACCCACTTCAGGATTCTTGTCTGGAAAATCCCATGGGCGGAGGAGACTGGAGGGCTACAGTCCCCTGGGTCCCAAAGAGTCAGACACGACTTAGTGACTTAGCATGGATGCCATTCTTTCCTAGGACTTCCAAGTTCGGCAGGGTATTTTGCGCACTGTACCAAGTTATCTGCTGAGAGAAGGAGATGGGGCTGAAGGCCAGCCTGAATGCACCTGCAGGGCACCATTCACCAAAAGAGGTGCCTTTTTCTTTCCTTTCCTTTTCTTCTGTGGGAATCTTTTTATTTTAGAAAATTGCACTATACACCAAAGTAAAGATAACTGTGTAATGAACCCTTGCATACCCATCTGGGTGCTTTTTTCCCTAATTCCTACAAAGGCACTATATTTGTCTGGGTCCTGGCAAGAAACAGATGGCACACTCAGAGGAGCAATAAGGAGAGTTAAAGAAGAGACTGTTTAGAGAGGTGTGAACAGGGTTGAAGGAAGCCACTGTGATGAAGAACCCTGGGGCTGGCAACAGCAGAACGGCCAGAAGGGATGGAGCAGCTACCAGGATGCACCAGCTTTGAAGCCACAGAACATGGCCAGAAGATGCTGCAGCTGCCAAAGCAAGGTCCCTCAAGGAGGGAGCAGAGGGAATGATATCCTGACCTCTCCAGTCCCTCCTTCTGACCTCTGGCTGCTGCCTCCCATTGGCTGAACCCAACTGGAAGCCAGAAGGAAGGGCTATGCAGCTGATGTGGCATGTAGAGGTTCTTCTTTAGGACACAGACCAAGGTTGGAAGGATGAAGAGTAGATTTCAAGAGGGGGGGTGGTGGTGGTGCCAGAACATCCCGCCCAGGCATCTGACTGGTGGCAGCCCTGCCTAGTTGCTATTATTAGCATTCTTCAACTGCCTCTCCTGATGTGGTTTGAAAGCTGAAAAAAACTTCCCTTCCTCAGAGAGGGTGGGATCATATGAGAGAATAGTATTGAAACATAAACACTGAAAGTGAAAATGAAAGTCGTTCAGTCGTGTTCCACTCTTTGAGACCCCATGGACTGTCCATGGAATTCTCCAGGCCAGAATACTGGAGTGGGTAGCCTTTCCCTTCCCCAGGGGATCTTCCCAACCTAGGGATCGAACCCAGGTCTCCCGCATTGCAGGTGGATTCTTTACCAACTGAGCCACAAGAGAAGCCCACAACCATATGTAAAATGGATAGCCAGAGGGAGTCTGATGTATGATGCAGGGAAGCCAAAGTCAGAGCTCTGTGGCAACCTAGATGAGCGGGATGGGGAAAGAGGTGGGAGGGAGGTTCCTGAGGGAGGGGACGTATGTATTCCTAATGCTGATTCATGTTGACTGTATGGCAGTAACCATCACAGTATTGTAAATTAATTATCCTCTAATTAAATATATAAAAATAAAAAATCTCCCCTTCCTCTATTTTGTCCTTCCTATTTACATATACTCATACAATATACTTGTGCTTAAAATTCTTCCCCTTCCTGCAGGTTATTTTGCAAGTTTCCAAAACCAAAGGCTCTGTCCATCAACCTCCAAAAGAAGAAATAAAAACACACAAAGAAACTTTTATATTTAAGCCATTTTTCAGGTAATGAAATCTTATGCATGATGTATTTGTGCACGAACTGGTTTACTCATCCCCAGCCAGGAATTGAACCTGGGTCTCCTGCCTTGCAGGCAGATTGTTTACCATCTGAGCCACTAGGGAAGGCCTATTTGACGTCAGAGGTCCCCAAATAAGCTCCATGTCTTTACCCATATCTTGAACAAATGACATGATCATGAACATTCATGATGTTCACTGCATAATGAAAAATAAGACACAAGAGTACACTGCAAATTCTGTTCCATAAAACTTCACTGTATTTACTGCCTTAAAAAAATGTCCTAATTGAAATGAAAAAGAGTCAGGGGGCTATATTTCTTTATTTTTATAGTAAAGTGTAACTTCTGTGCTGCCTTTCCATGTTTCTGGTATACCAATAAAACTCTGTTAGATTCTGAGATTGTTTTCCTGATATACATTCTGAAAGATGACATTGATTGACTATTAGTGATATTCAATTACATGTGCCAGGTTCGGTGAGTTCTACCTAATCACTAAAGCCCATTGAAATACACAACACAAGGGCCGGCCAGCTTCTGCCGGCACAGGAGCAGGGGGGCCGAAAGGTGCTCATGGGTTCTGGTGTTGTCCCTAACGTTCTGAACGATGATCCCTGGGGCTGTACCTGTGCTGAGTCAGAGGAGCGCTTTGTTTCTTTCAGCCGCTGTGTGCACCGCCCAGCTAGCTGAGACTCATTTATCAGAAGCCGACTGTGATAGCTTACATGGGAACGCTACCCCTGGGAGTTTGAGCACACAAGAACAGTACAAGACTGCCAAAGAAACCCAGCCTCTGTGTCTGCCGATGCTCAGCCACTTACAATAAAACAAGCAACAATGCACCTCTGTCCTTAAGAACCTTTTCTCCTTTCAGTGTATTCAAAGGGGAACTTTAGAGACTATATGGAAACTCACACCGAAAAACACAGTTGGAAAAGAAAATGGCCATTTTGTCACTCCAGGGGCACATCCTGAGGCCATGTCTGTGGATGTCCAGAGTGCAGCCTCGGGGATCCCTGGAAGCCCAGTTCAGCGCCAGCCCATTTATTTGTCGCCTCTCTTGTTTGATCTCTTTGTGCTGTGTGCTGTGCTTAGTCAATCAGTTAAGTCTGACTCTTTGTGACCCCATGGACAGAGGAGCCTGACAGGCTGCAGTCCATGGGGATTCTCTAGGCAAGAATACTGGAGTGGGTTGCTGTGCCCTTCTCCAGGGGGTCTTCCCAACCCAGGAATCGAACCCAGATCTCCTATGTTGCAGGCGGATTCTTGACCATCTGAGCCACTGGGGAAGCTATCCTGCAAGAATGGATGCACTTTTGAGCCCATAATATTCTTCCCTTTACTAGATCTTACACTAGCTCTCTGATGTGAGGGCATTTTTGTACCGTCATGTTTCTGGGAGACATGGGAAGGGAGGAGAATGTTGCTACAGAGAGCCCAGGTTCTGAGGCTGGCTCCACATTTAACTGGGGCAGGGAAAGCCCAGAAATGAGGACCAGCTGAAGGGGTGTCACTATTTGCCACTACCCTGTGCTGTGGTATGGAAAGTGAGTGGCATCTGGGAAGAGTCAAGCATAAGCTTCCCCATTTTGTTACTCTCTATTTTGTAAGACTACATGTAGGGTCTAAATCATTGGCAGTTTTGCAGAATTACGTATCTTCTCATCTGGTATGGTCTGCTTGCTTGCATTCTCCCCAGACCTACCTGTTGAAAACCTGATGCCTGAAGTGATAGGATTAGATGGAGAGGCATTTGATCAAGAAGGCTCTGCGCTGGTGATTGGGACTAGAGCCCTTATAAAGGAGGCCACAC